AAATATAGAACATAAACATTATGTAACAAACCTAATAAAGTTTAAAAATGATCCACATCAAAAAAAAAATGAAAAAAAAAGATTCTAGATCACTCTGTCTCTAAATGACTTACTTTCTTTGTGTATAAAAGAGTTAAAAAAAGATCTCCATTTCTTCCCTGCTTGACTAACTGTGAGTCTCAGATATTCTTCCAGAAGAATTAAAAAATATTAAATGTGGAGCATAGCAATGATATTTCTGGTGTATGTTTCAAATACAATCAACTCATGGATGTACAAACAAATCTAAGAGCAAAGAATTTTAGAAAATAACATTAAATGGAGTGAAAATCTTGATGTCAACATGGGATAAATACTCAACATTTTCATAAATTTCCAAGTTTGCCAAAACCACTATAATGTATGTTGTCAATGATGACATTTAATTAAAATCAATACAAAGAAAAATACATCTGTGTATGTAGATATTTATTTGTTGTTGTTCAGTTATGTCCAACTCTCTGTCACCCCATGGACTGCAGCAATCTATGCTTCCCTGTCCTTCACTGTCTCCTGGAATTTACTCAAACTCATGTCCATTGAGTCTATGATGCCACCCAACCATTTCATTCTCTGTGGTCCNATTGTTTAAGTCATCTATTTTATAGTATTTGTTATAGTAGCCTGACCTAAGACAGTAATTTAATATAGACAATGGGCTGCCACTGCAACAAATACATTATAACGTGGAAGTAGCTTTGGATCTGGGTTACAGGTAATGGCTGGAAGAGTTTTGGGATACATGTTAGAGAAAGCCAAGATTGCTACAAAGGTGAGCCTGGTGAGTATTCAGAAAGAAAAGCGGAGAACTATAGAGAAAGCTTCCATCTACTTAGAAAATGCATAAATTATTATGAACAGAGTATTGACAGACACACAGCAGGTAAAGGCTATTCTGGTGAAGTCTTAGATGAAATTGATAAACAACCATTGGACAAGGGGAAAAGGTGATCTTTGATCATAAAATGGAAAATACCTTGGCTGAGCTGTGTTGGTATTCTAGTGCATTGTAAAAGATAAATCTAGCAAGTGATAAAAATGGGTATTTAACTAAAGAGCTTTCTAAACAAAACGTTAAAGAAGTGATTTGGTTTCTATTGCCTTCTAATAGGGCTTCCCCAGTGACTCAGTCGTAAAGAATTTGCTTGCAATGCAGGAGCTGCAGGAGACGTGGGTTTGATCCCTAGGTCAGAAAGATCCTCTGGAGGAGGGCTTGGCAACCTCCTCCAATATTCTTGCCTGGAGAACTCCATGGACAGAAGAGGATGGTGGGCTACAGTCCACAAGGTTGCAAAGAATTGAACGTGACTGAAGCTACTTAGCATGGGCACACGACTTCTAATAGCAAAATTTGAGAAAAGAAATGTATTGAAAATGGAACTGTTTGGCAAAAAAGTAACTAGAACTTAAAGAGTTGAAAATTACCAGTTTAAAATTATCATAAAATATAAGAAAGCATATTAGGAAGAGAATGCTAGGGATACAGTGGACTGACCATGTGATAAAGACACTAGTGTGGGTATGAACTGGGGACTTAATCAGTTACCATAGCAGGGATACTGTCAGGTTAAACAGAAGGGGATGGAGGTAAGATGGAATGGAAGAAAGCTGTTGAACTTTCTGGATCTTAAAGGGAAGACAACAGAGCTTTTCTTCAGGACAAAGGATAATGACCCCAAAGGCAATTCAGTGACCATCAGGGCTACCCCTCATTTTCAAAAGGTTGGGCATTATCTTGGTTTCAACAGGCTAGACCACTTCTACCCAAAGCTTTGGGGCAGGGTCACCTGGAACCATTAAGGGAGATCTATTCTTTTCAGAACTGCAGGTGTAGAACCTCCACCCCAGTGGGTTTGAAAGGAAGAGTACTGAAGCAAAGAGGATTATTCTTAAGACTTAATATCTCATGGAGTTTGCCTTGCTAGGTTTTGGACTTCCTTGAGACCCATCATCCTTCTTTTTATCCAATTTCTCCCTTTTTGAAATGAGAATGTCTATCCTATGCTTGTCCCATCATTGTATTTTGAAAGCACATGACTTGTTCGCACAAGTTCACAGCTAGAGAGGAATTTTGCTTCAGAGTAAATCATACCTTGAGTCTCACCCATGTCTGATTTACATCTTTAGAATCTAGATGAGACTTTGATCTTCAGACTTTAGAGTTGATGCTGGAATGAGTTGAGACTTTGGGAGACTTAACTCATGAAATGAAGGATGAAGTGAGTCTATTTTGCATTTGAGAAGTACAAAGATTTTGAGAGGCCAAGAACAGAATGCTATCAACTGAATGTTTGTGTCCCTCCAAAATTCATATATTAAAGCTCTAATTGTCAATGTGACAAATGGAGATGGGACCTAGGGAGATAATTAAGTCAAGAGTCAGGGACTTAATTGAAGACAGCCAACCTCAAGCCCAGGTGAAGAATACACATGTCAATGCAGGAGACACAAGAGAAGAGGGTTCAATCCCTAAGTCAGGAAGATCCCCTGGAGTAGGAAATGATGCCCCACACTACAGTATTCTTGCCTGGAAAATTACATAGCAGAGGAGCCTGGAAAGCTACAGTCTGTAAAGCCAAGAGTCAGACATGATTGAGCAACTGAAAACATGTGCATAGAGCTGCAAGCAAGAAGTGGGCTCTCATCAGACACTGAATTTACTGAAACCTTGATCTTAAACTTCCCAAGCTACAAAACTGTGAGAAAGAAGTGGTTGTTGCTTAAGACAGTCTATGGTAATTTGTTATAGTAGCTAGAACGAAGACAAGTGTGTGAGAATACAATGAACAAAGACTTGAATATGATAAAAAGCACGAAGTAAACAGGACAGAAATTCATTCAATTTGACTATAACATAAAAACAAGTAGAGGTTCCTTTGACCCTTCCCACATCTTCCCCACTGCCACCTCACTGAATTTTAAATTTGATTTCTTCGTGTCCATCAGGGTGTGGATACGAAAGAATATACGATTTAATAGGACTTCCCTGGTGGCTCAAATGGTAGAGAATCTTCCTGAAAAAAAAAAACTGATCATTGAAAGCATGCAATTGACCACTATTTTGAAATTCATGCCTGACTTTTAGAAGACAGGGCAAAAACCAACACAAGGCAATTGAAAACCGTAGAACAAAAAGGGATCTGACTTAGACTGCAGGAACATTGGTCAAATTCAATCTAATAACCCACAGATTAGGAAATACTTAAGCCTTCTCCTTTCACTTCCCTTTTCTCTATGTCAGGAAGAGTCCACAGCCTCAGCTGATAGCTTCATGAAGGCAGCGACAGACACCCCACTGTGGTGTGATTAACTCAGTGTACTGTCTCAACTAGCCCATCAAAGTTGCCTGAAAGTGAAAGTGAAGTCGCTCAGTCATGTCTGATTCTTTGCAACCCCATGGACTATAGCCTACCAGGCTCCTCAGTACATGGAATTTTCCAGGCAAGAGTACTGCCATTTCCTTCTCCAGGGTATCTTCCCAACCCAAGGATTGAACCTGGGTCTCCTGCATTGCAGACAGACGCTTTACCATCTGAGCCCCTAGGGAAGCCCTTAAAGTTGCCTGGGGACTAGCATTTCTCCAAGGATCACAAAGCAAAACTGACCTGGACTGTCATCCCTTGCCTAGCAGGGACCCAGTGTTGGCATTGGGGGGGGGGGGGCAGTGTCACAAAGTGAACGGTCACTTCGTCTTTAAACCAGGAGAATAAACAGGTCTCTGCTTGTGAAACTGAGTGCATATTAAGCTGAGCTGTCCAGTACTTGACTTGGAGCAAGGCTCCCTTTCCTGTGTACATTCATTTTATTTTATGGCCATGTAAAAGCAACTCTGTGGTGCTGACTGCAGTGGGAAAAATCAACAACAACATTATAGAACAAGCCACAACCAAAAGCAACCCCCCATTAAAAAAAAAAAAAAAAACAGGAAAAAAATATGGAGGCAGATCCCCCAATCACCTTGGCAAGCATTGGCTGTGTCAAAAGTGAGAATAATTGATTTTGACATAGAGGAAAGTAGTAATTGGAATGAAACTTGTTTGAATAACAGCTTAAATGTTTCTTTCCTTGCTTTCCAGATTACATGCACTGTAAAGCCGGATTTCTTTCTCCTGGCTGGTTCACAGAGGACATTCTGTGTCCAAGGGGCTTGTGAAAGGAGGAAAAGAAAACCTGTGAATTTGCCTCTCTCTGGATGATTGTTGGGCTTGGATTCCAGGCCCACATAGACAGTTTATTGATACTTAATCCCAAATCTTCTCTGTTGTGAGCAACTCTCATAGACGATTTTTAATTTGATGAAAGGCTGGATAGTATTTGGGTTAGAGGGAATTCAGGCTTGCACGCTCAGTCACTTGTGTCTGACTCTTTGCACCCCATGGACTTAGCCTGTCAGGCTCCTCTGTCCATGGGATTCTCCAGGCAAGAGTACTGGACTGGGTTACCATGCCCTCCTCCAGGGGATCTTCCGGGCCCAGGGATTGAACTCGCGTCTCTTGTGTCTCGTGCTCTGGCAGGCGTATTCTTTACCACTAGTGCCACCTGGGAAGCCCTTGGGTGAGAGTACGGGTCAGCAAAACTGAAGTTAGAACTTTCTCCCCATCTAGTTCCTCTTCCAGTTCAGTTCAGTTCAGTCCTGGGAAGCCCTTGGGTGAGAGTACGGGTCAGCAAAACTGAAGTTAGAACTTTCTCCCCATCTAGTTCCTCTTCCAGTTCAGTTCAGTTCAGTTGCTCAGTCGTGTCCCACTCTTGGCGACTCCATGGACTGCAGCACACCAGGCTTCCCAGTCCATCACCAACTCCCTCTTTACTAGTTTCCAGTTAAAGTGAGTACCATGGGCTGAATGTTTATGTCGCCCTTAAATTCACATATGGAATTCTAACGCCCAAGGTGATTGTGTTTAGAGGTGGGGGGGTTTGGCAGGTGATGGTGTCATGACAACAGAACCCTCGTGAATGAGATTAGTGCCCTTATAAAAGAGACCCCAGGAAGATCCTTCCCTTCTTCCTTCACGTGAAGACACAGTGAGAAGACAGCCGTCTGTGAGGAAGCTGGTCTTAACCCAACACTGAATCCCCTGACATCTTGACCTCAGACTTTCCAGCCTCCAGAACTGTGAAAACAAAACCACTTCCGTTGCTCGTAAGTCACGCAGTCTCTTGTGTTCTGCTACGACAGCCCAAGCAGACCAGGGCAGTGGGTGGAGTCCTAATTCCACAGTGGGTCACCCCTGGTCCCTGAGGTTCTGCCCTATGGGTTCCTGCTCCAGCTTCTCCTACCTTCTCTAGGCTCCCGCCATGTCAAACATCCCTAGGTCTTACATGGTCTGGCCATTTGTATTTCTTCCATCATCTCCTTCTATGCTTCCCTCTACTCACAAGCTTCAGCCCTGTGAGGCTGCCAACTGTGTCTTGAATCTTCCAGGTTGATTTAAGCTCTGGGCATTTGCTCCTGTTACTGTTTGTCTGGAATGTTCTTTCTCTCACCACTTCATGCCTGAATCTTTCTGAGCTGTCATGATCTAAGTGTACTTTCCCTGACTCCTGCCTCCTGGAACTATGCCACCTGCTCATTTTATTGATGGAGAAAATAAAAATATTTTGACCATTTACTTGTGTGTTTGTTTGTCCTCCTCCTCTTCCATAACAACAATGAAATCTTCCTAACACTGGAGATTTTTCTCTGCTATGCACTCTTGTATCTTCAACTACAGTAGGAACTCAGTAGACATAAATAAATGGTTCTCAGGATACAGTAGGATCTGCCACGCTTTCTTTCCTTTGGCTAAGTTAATGTCTCTTCTTTAGCTTAATCACTTGCTCAGGCAGCCCTTTCTCTTGCTTCAAAGGCTCAGCTCACATGCCCCCTCTTTGTGGAGACTTACTTCACATCCTAGATTACAACATGTTGTTCCTTTTTCATTTGCTTGGTTCTGGTATGTGCATTCCTCATGGAAATTGCCATGTTGTATTTCAGTTGTGCTTCTATGTATGTAGCCTGTGCTGAAAGTGTACATGTTTTGGGGTGTGTGTTTTGCACTTAGGGATTCTGTCTGTATCTGTAAATCAATGTCTGCTGTAGTGAATGTACATAGTAATGCTTAAAAATGTTGAACAAATTATTAGTCATTGGCTCAGTTGACGAGGCTTTAAAATCATGATGTCTTTTTGAGGCTTTACTGCTGTTGTTCAGAAGCTCCATATTTATAGTTTTTCTTTTTCCTTTTTCTCATGCTGTCTCTCACAGATATACCCTCATCATTCACAGTGTTAATATTTTTTTGGAGACCCTCATACCTGGCCAATTGCAATAGCTTTCTAATTCATTTCTCTGCCCCTCACTTTCTTTCCTCTAACACCGAAGGAAAGGAAAAGCCTTGATTTGCCTTTCAATCACTGTCTCCCTCCTTCAGTTTCCAGATGAAGGAGAAGTCATTAATCTGATTGGTCAAATTAGCAAAAACTCTTAGGCTTCTTCAGTGACCTCTCAGGTTTCTCTGCCATTCTCTTTTACTGTGTTTCTGTGTCCATCTAACTTTCACTCTCTCTCTTTCTCTGCTTTTCTGAAACTGAGTAAACGAACTCTGGGACCTTCAAAGATGCTTTTCCCCTTACTATAGTCCAAAGGTGGTAACAACCCAAGGTTTAGATCTCATGGATACTGGGAACTCAAGAGATCCGACTGTAGCTTTGCACTTCAGCTATAGGCTCCTAACAGACTCTGTCATGAGTTATCGGTCTCTATTAATAAAATAGTAGCTTGACATTTACTTTTCTATTGACCCTTATGTTTGTAAAAAGTGACTTGCCTCTTCCTGAAGGAAAGAATCCTTATTATACTCATCTTTGTTTCTAGCAGATTGCACACTGGGTCATCAACAATTTTTTTAATTTGAGGAAGTGAGTTAGAGCTAAATAACTTTGTCCCCTTCTTAGGAGCACAGTGTTGGGTATCTAACAGATGCTTTAAATGTATTTGTTGAGTGAATAGGTGGATTATCCTATCACTTCTTACTTTTTCTGAGTTGCTAACTCTATATCCATCTCTGCTGCAGGGACCAGTCTATTTTGGAGAACTCCGGTTTCCACAGGTACACCCTTTAGTCTCCATCAGACAGTCCCAAAGATGTAGCTGTGAGTATCAAGAATCCATTTGGATCTTATCATTTCTTTGAGAATCTGAAATACCTTCAATATGACTCATCTGAAATTAAAGGCATCTGCTTTTATCTCTAGTAGCAGAACATTTGGTGACAATTTTTGAGTTTACATTATAATCAACCAAAGCAGCACTTAAACTCCTTAAGAGTGGATTGTTAGTGGCCAAGAATTAGGAACTGCTTGTTTCTAGTAAAATCACTTCTGACACATCCAAGACATCCCAGCCAGCAAGAGGGATATTAGAGGAGATGATGAACGATTTTAACACCGATTGACATCAGGTTCTGGCATGTCATGGTGATGTCCAGAAGACATTGTTCTTGCCTTTTAAAATATCTTGCTAAGAAATAAAAATGCAGGGTGACTAAAGTGATTTTTTTTCTACATAAATGAACTCTTAATTGCCCTTTAGTAGTTACTTCAAAGTATCTTTTGAGATGTTTTCTGATCAAATCAAAATGACTACACAACTATCATTTCAGAGCTAAAATGATTATAAAGCCAACTTTTATTTGGACTCTTCAATGTGCCTGGTATTTTCGCATGAATTATCTTACCGTGTTCTCATAGCCATATTGTGATTTCAGGAGTAGATAAAAGCTCAGGGACGCTAAAGCAGTGGTCTGATGTCGCATAGCCAGACAGTGACAGAGCCAGGACTTGGATTCAAAATCTTCCTCTAAGTTCAATGTTCTCACAGCCATAACACATTGCTTTAGAAAGCATCCCTATTACCCTCTATTGTATAGATGAAATATGAAGATCCAGAAAATGTCTAATGGTCTCAGAGGGTGGCAGGCACACTGCCTCTAGAGACATTTGGCTCACTAGCCTCAAAAAAAAAAAAAAAAAAAATTCAGTTTCTGTTATCAAAATACTTGTTTATGGGCTTCAGCACTCCTCTGAAAGGGCAGAATTTGGAAAGGGAAAAAAAAACAAACAAACGAAAGAGCAGCTCAAAATTGTGACTCATTTGCCATGGAATGTGAACAAACTATTTCTTGAAAATATGGGACAGGCAATAATATGATGTGTTTCTATTACCTGACACATAGAAAATAACTTCAGTGATTCCATACACTGCTATTACAAATATCATACACTCACTACATTGTTTCAAGAGGGCTACTATGACAAGGTATCACAGACTAGGGGGCTTAGCAACACGATTTTATATTCTCACAGTTCTGGAGGCTAGAGGTCTAAGATCAAAGTGTTGGCAGGGTTAATTCCTCCTGTGGGCCACGAGGAAGAAAAAACTGCTAGGCACCGATCCTCGGCTGTAGGGCTTCCCTGGCGGCTCAGATAGTAATGTAACTGATTGCAGTGCAGCAGACCCAGATTCAGTCCCTAAGTTGGTAAGACCCCTGGGGAAGGAAATGGCGATCCACTCCAGTGTTCTTGCCTAGAAAACGCCGTGGACAGAGGAACATGGAGGACTACAGCCCATAGGGTCATGAAGAGTCGGGCACGGCTGAGCAACTAACACACATCCTTGGTTTTAGAAGGGTGTTTTCTCGCTGTGTTCTTATATAATTTTCCCTCTTTTGGTTTCTGTGTCCTAATTTCCTCTTCTGATAAAGATAATCAGTCATGTTGGATTAAGGCCTACCTTCATGATCCCATTTAATTCAATTATCTCATTAAAGACCTTCTCTTCAACTACGGTACTTTCGGGGGTCCTATAAATTAGGACGTGGACATACAAGTTTATGGAGGGCACAATTCACCCCATCACACCACACACACACACAGAGTTAAAATTCAATAGGGAGATGTGTCTGTGCTCGTTGTTTAGGAAATACAAATTTTATTTTCCTCAGTACAGGGCTTCCCAGGTGGTGCTAGTGGTAAAGAATCAGCCTGCCAGTGCAGGAGACACAAGAGACTTGGGTTCCATTCCTGGATTGGGAAGATCCCCTGCAGTAGGAAATGGCAACCCGCTCCAAAGTTCTTACCTGGAAAATTCCCCAGACAGAGGAGCCCGGTGGGCTCCAGTTCATGAGGTCGCAAAGAGTCGGACAAGACTGAGGGACTGAACGTGACACCTGGGAGCACAGTATGTACTTATGGTAATCTGAACTTATTTTTTGAAAGTTCTTTTCATGAACCAAGACTTTCCAAGGAAAAGTACAAGTAGAAAAGAAGAGAAAAGACACCAGCAACTGTAGGCCCTTTTTATACTTGACAGATGGCCAGGAAGGGGCCTGGGCATGGAGTCTAAGGTTTGGGCTGATGTCGGGCTCTATTGCTTACCAGTTGAGATCCAGACCACTGTGCAAGTCTTTTCTTTGATCTATAAAATAATAGAGGCTTCCCTGTTAGCTCAGACAGTAAGGAGTCTGCCTGCAATGTAAGAGACCTGGGTTTAACCCCTGGGTTGGGAAGATCTCCTAGAGAAATGAATGGCAGCCCAGTCCACTATTCTTGCCTGGAGAATTCCATGGACAGAGCCTACAGTCCATAGGTCTGCAAAGAGTCCAACACAACTGAGCGACTTTCACTTTCACAAAATAATAAAACCCAACATTACATGGTTTTCATTTTCATGAAGATTGAGATAATGGATACAAAATAATTCTGTATGCTCTGGAGAAAAGGTGATTTTTTTTCTTTTTAAATGGGCACCTTTCCCAATTGCAATCTTAAAGCCCAGATCAATACTTTTAAAAAGTGAAAGCAAACTGACTTGACTTGAAGAGGTTGTGAAAAGTTAAGAATTGACTGTGGTGCTGAAATCACTTGCCAAATTCCGTCTTCTGCCAATTCCTGACATTTACTACTGAGCATATTTTAAAATCACTACTCTTAGGACATATGCAAATGTTAGTTATTTTTTAAATTATTTCAGCAGCACTGCGTGGTGGAAGATGTTTTGTTTTCAGTTATTTTATTGGAGTATGGTTGATTTAAAATATTGTGTTGGTTTCGGGTGTGTAGCAAAGAGGTTCAGTTATGCATGTAGCTATATACACACATGGGAAAAGTGAAAGTGTTAGTTGCTCAGTTGTATCCGATTCATTGTGAGCGCATGGACTGTAGCCTTCCAGGCTCCTCTGTCCATGGAATTCTTTAGGCAAAAGTACTGGAGTGGGTAGCCATTCCCTTCTCCAGGGGATCTCCCCAACCCAGGGATTGAAACTGGCTCTCCTGCCTTGCAGGCAAATTCTTTACAATTTGAGCTACCAGAGAAACCCATACATGAACATATATCCCCTCTTTTTTAGACTTTCTTCCCTTATAGGTCATTACAGAGTATCAAGTAGAGTTCCCTGTGCTTTACAGGAGGTTCCTGTTGGTTATCTATTTTAGATACAGTAGTGTGTGTATGTTAACCACAAACTCATAGTTTAACCCTCTTACCCTCTCCCTTTCCTGTTTGAACCATAAGTTTGTTTTCTATGTCTGTGGATCTACTTCTGCTTCACATATAAGTTCATTTGGATCATTTTTTTAGATTGCACATTGAAGCAATATCATATGATATTTGTCTTTCTCGATTTGGCTTATTTCACCTAGAATGGTAATCTCCAGGCCCACTCATGTTGCTGCAAATGGGTATCTTCCATTCTTTTTTTGGCTAGATAATATCCTGCTGTATATATGTACCACATCTTTATTGACTCATCAGTCAGTGAACATTTAGGTTGTCTCCATGTCTTGGCTGTTGGAGGTAGAGTTTAGTAATGATCATAAAGATGATCCAAGAAATCAGGAAAATAATGGGTGCATGGAGTGAGATGTTTTCAATTTTTAAATGTGAAGAAACTAAAATCCAGAGTGCTGAAGTAATTGCCTAATCACCTGGAGCCCAGTATTTCTCAAGTGAGCTATAGTAAAGGATTTACATTTAAAGGTTTTAATTTGTCATGGACCAATGTTTTGCATGCTGAAATAAATATGAATCACTAGTAAAGCAAATTAAGAAATAAGAAAGGCTTACAAAGTACAAACTTGATTTTTTAAATTAATTTCAATAGACAAAATAATTCCACTGATTGCTATAAAAGTTTCCACAAGTTTACTTGCATTGCAGGTAAGTTAAATATTTGCAGGTCCTATTTTGGGTAGCACTGCTATAAACAGTGACAGTGAACAAGTGCTCAAAATGTGTGTTGTGACTCTAGGATCAGTGGTCCTACTTTACATCACTGCTTTTTTGATCTAATATCTCCAATTTCTTTATCTGCTAAATGCACACATTGACCTTTCCTTTGTCTACTTCATATGATTATTACAACATTCAGAAGACACAAAGTAGAAATTAAAAACTGTAAGGAACAAAGTATTAACAATTGTAGAATGGAAAGTTTGAAAATAAGCATGACTAACCTTACTAAAGAATACTTAGACTAGAATGAAACTAGAACACTCTCTAACACCATACACAAAAATAAACTCAAAATGGATTAAAGATCTAAACGTAAGACCAGAAACTATAAAACTCCTAGAGGAGAACATAGGCAAAACATTCTCCGACATAAATCACAGCAGGATCCTCTATGACCCACATCCCAGAATTTTAGAAACAAAAGCAAAAATAAACAAATGGGACCTAATGAAACTTAAAAGCTTTTGCACAACAAAGGAAACTATAAGCAAGGTGAAAAGACAGCCCTCAGATTGGGAGAAAATAATAGCAAACGAAGCAACAGACAAAGGATTAATCTCAAAAATATACAAGCAACTCCTCCAGCTCAACTCCAGAAAAATAAATGACCCAATCAAAAAATGGGCCAAAGAACTAAACAGACATTTCTCCAAGGAAGACATACAGATGGCTAACAAACACATGAAAAGATGCTCAACATCACTCATTATCAGAGAAATGCAAATCAAAACCACAATGAGGTACCATTACACGCCAGTCAGGATGGCTGCTATCCAAAAGTCTACAAGCAATAAATGCTGGAGAGGGTGTGGAGAAAAGGGAACCCTCTTACACTGTTGGTGGGAATGCAAATTAGTACAGC